GGAGTGGACTATCCGGTTTCTTGCCGAATGTAGTATGGGGGTTTTTGAAGAGAGGTCTGCATTCAACGATTTGAACGATTCATTCTGTAGGTTCAGCAGAATCGCGGAAACAACGCAGTTTCACTTCTGTCCGCAGCCGAATGTAACACGAGGGCTGGGATACTGCCACGTTGCCCAAGCCTAAACGGGGGAAGTCGAGAAGCAAAGGTCGGGTTTGAGCCACGGACCTTCCGGTCAGTGGGTTTGCACTGTAACCACTGAGCCAGCTCACCCCGATCCGAATCTACACAAGTTCCTTAACGCTGGAATTCCTAAACTGCTCCCCAGGTGTACGGTGCTTAGGTCAAACATTTGTTTTTTCCTCTTGCTTTAATTTCGGTGGTTCTGTTTCCATGACTTTGTACACAATCCAATTTTGTACATGAATCCAAAATTTCACCTCAGTTGGTTGAATGATTCGTGTGCTGTCTGAATCACTATTACGTGTATTACTTAACTGGAACTTGGAGACGTGCTACGAAAGCTACCAAACTACCTCAGGGATGACTGAGAGCCTGACTTCATCCAATTTACTATGGTCCTTACCTTACCGTCCTTCTCTTATGTTCTTCCTGTAGAAGCCACCACATTGACCAACGGATATGTTGTTTTGCTTACCTAGCAGAGTGATACTCTACGGTAAGTCATTGACCATGGGTGTGTGAGATCACGTTCGACGATTGTCTTTGATCTCGTGCACGCTGCTTACCGTGAGCAGTTCGACTGATCACATTAGATCCCGGACATGCCTTTGGCTCCAGCTGATCAACGCATATTCTCACGTAACATTAGCAGCCGAGGTTACTCAAAACGAGAAATTACCATCGTGGGTGCACTTGAGGGACAGAACGCCTAACCAAACAAACAGTGGGGTATCCACACTCACGTGACAGTTCTCTGATGGGTTGACGAAAGGATGCGCACGCGTACAAACTCGCGGACACATCCAATCAGCTGTTACAACGTGCCACTGAAATACACTGCGATAGGCGCATTCAAACTGCCTATCAGTGACACTTCTTTCCATTCTGTTTTGCATTGTAACCGTGTCGAGGCCAATCGATTGACCAATAGTCTTAATAGAACGAAGAGGGGCGTGTTGCCCCGCAAAAATCGTCAATTTATTCACTTTCTCTGGAATGCTGGTTTTTTTAGCAACCGTAACGCAGAATGATGTGTTTTCCCTGGTTCTTGTGACCTAGCTTACAGTCTTTGGCGATGTCTGGCAGTCCACCATCTCTTATTTCCGAATTTCGAATAAATTCACATATATTTTACACACCACGGCTTGCTGCTGGTAAAATTGCATCAAATGGTGTCTTGTTGCAGAAATTTTCTTCTGATATTGTTATCCAAGCTTATGAATGATATGAGGTTGCATTTTTCTGAATGTTTATCAGATCCGAACTGTTGATCATTCCTAGCAGGGAAGAAATAACCAAACGGCGCTCCTAGGATTTTGGGCTCAAATCGACCTCATCTGCAGGAGCAAAGCTCAAGTGAGAAAAAAAACTTAAAAGGACCCGAACATTTAAAGCTTAGTTCCGCTCACATCCAGTATTTTCACCTCTTTCGTTTCAATAATCACACCCAAGTGAAAGTTTCCCATCCATCAAAGAGCAACTTTTCGTCACTGTCTAATACTGCTCGCGATTTCCTTGTCTGCGCCCATTGCAGTGACGGCATGCAGTCTACCGAGATATCGGGAAGGGTAATTATGCCTTCGAATGCGAATAATTGATACCATTGTGGCGTTGCTTGCTGAAAGTTCAACCACAACCTTAGTTCGCCGATTTAGAATTTGTCAAAAAGAGCACTTGTCTCGACTGCTACTGACACTAAGAATGTTTAAATCAACGAGAGTTAAAAAGCGTCCCATCGTTCCCAAAAAACTGTCTGTGGATTCATGAAAAAAACAAAACATGATGGCTTTGGAAAACTTGTTCTGTCGCTTCATGCCGCATGAATTTCACTTTTCTCGTCCGGCACTGAGAGTTGCGGCATCTCCCCTTTTTCATTCGGTTCCTGATGGGGTTCTTTCAGTTGCACAGTAGCATCTGGAACAATCGGACACTCTGGATCTCCAGTATCGACATTTCTGAGTACGTCTCCTTTGCCTTCATCCGGAATCAGTCTCTTTTCAGGGAATCGCCCAGGTCGATTTGTGTATAACTGCAAACTGTCCATGATCTGGGTGAACCTGAGACAGAGCTCTCCAGACCAACAGTTGGGAACTCACCGCTCGTCCTTGGATGCACGCTGCTCCGATTCGATTTGTCTAGTTAGATCCTCAATAAGCTTCTTGATGCTTGTGACCTCTTCTAAGCTACTATAAGCAAAATGAAATATAGACGTTACTCACAATCGAGACAAAGCGGTAAGAGCACTGACTGTAACTTTAGAAGCGTGAAACATCTGGCAGACTGTCAACTTTCATGCCTGCTGCTGCAATACAAATAAATTGCTACAGATGAATACCGCGGAACGATTAACGGTAATTAATCCTGCTCCGTCTCAGATCTACGGTTTCCAGTCTATGTAAAAAGAACGCACCTAGTTCATCGAGGCATTTAATGTGGGGATGGTCCTTTAGTAGGTCTGTTGCCGAAGGCGGGGTACTTGGATAAATCTTATGGACTTAGTGTTTTGAGTTTCCAGCTGGTACTCCTGTTTTTACTGAACAGGTTGCGCCACTCAATATCATCATCTCACACAACCTTCCGCCGAGTTGATTACCTGAAGAATGGAACTAATATATATGGTCAAAAATCCACTTTATGAAACTAATAAAGCCCTTACAATAGCAGATATGTTCGTAAATTGTGGCATATATATATATATATATATATCAAATTATGCGGCGCCCAAACTATTGAGCGGAAGATGCGATGCTCCTTCCGGTCCATTACTAGCCGATTTAGTATGCACCAGCAAAGACAAAACTAATAATAATAATAATAATAATAATCGACAGCATTCTATCAGTGTTCAACACCGATGCTTCACTGCCGTAAAACCATGACTTATTTGAAAGCCTTATTGTAAAGAAACGAGTAAAGTTGGACGGAGAAGGGACTTAGTGCTAGCCTACCACAATCATTCCGAGGTGCCTACACCTCCAGACACTCATTCAGGCAATCTGGATAGAAACTGACAAAATGATACCTATGTGTATAAACACTAAATTGTGATATGCCAATCAATTGGGTAAACTGGCTGACGAATGAAAATTATGGTAAGGTAAATTTAGCATGGTCAAATACAAAGATAGGTAAGCTCGACGAATTTCGTTTCCGAAGTCTCAGGCGACGCAAGTTGGTGAGTATCGCCTGGGTGAATTCACCTCACCTGTCAACGACACTATCTGTTGACCGAACAAATGCAGAAAAGTTCTAATCCATACACAGAGTAAAAGATCTCCTTGAAGTCTATGTAAACTGAATATTAGTAGGCAGTACCTACTTTACGGAATTGTAGGTGTGGTCACTACGTTCCCTACTTGGCCGAAATCTAGCTTGGTGTTCTCGAATTTGTGTCTCACCTGCTGAAGTCAGGCGTTGTATTATTCTTGAAGTCGACAGCCTTCTTGCAAGTAGATAAGGTTTCCAAAATCACTGGGATGAACACATCTCAGCATTATTCTGGGGCATGAAGCATCCTTGGGATTGATCTAACGTTCTTTGCGTATATTACCCAGCACAGGCATAGCACGCAATGACCGGAAAGCCTCAGCTAGGCGATCTAGCTATAAAGTGACAGCTAATTCGAGGGAGGGATTGGTTTCTTGCTTGTCTTTTAGAATTTTCAACCTCGTGCAATAAGAATCACACGGAGCTAACCCTGGAAGGCGAGAAGACCCGCTGAATCTAAGAGTTAATTTCGGATAACTAGATAATGACTAGTGCCGTTCGAACTCTTCGTTAGTCTATTTGCCAGACTGTGGTCCGACAGCATTAGTACATATCGCAACCGTGTTGGCCGCACCAGAGTTTCATTCTGCTCGAGCGAATCCGACTCAGTAACTAGTACTCGGTTGCGAGTCGTACAATGACTATACAGCCAGTTAGAGCCGGTCATAATACGAAGGTAGTAGCAATCAAATAGATGAGTACGTTCCAGATAGGAGGGACCAAGTTTCACAGCTGTGGAGTAGAACGGATTCTGAGATGGTTTTCCAGGCACAGCCCTTTAAGCTCGGTAATAATCAGACAGCGAAGGTGGTGCAAACTGACAAACAGTGCTAGTGCCGTGGTGAGGAGTGCAGTGACCTCACTGTCACAGAGCAGTCACTAATTATGAAGGTGCTAAAGTCGGTGATTCTACCTACAAACTCAAGTTCCATCCTTAGAAGCATATTTTGTGGACCGTAAACTCATTGACATCGTGGTCATAGCTGGTTGCCCTGCGTAACAGTCAGACTGGAAAAACGGTATGAAGCAATAACATAGTTTTCCAACTCTACCAGTTGGCAGCATGAACACCCCAGTGTTATAGCAATACCGGCCTAAAAAAGGATCAGATGCTCCGAAATGTTTGATGGAGGTTCTACAAACGACCAGAAACGTGTGTGCCTGTGCCTTTGACTAACAAAGCACAGAAAACGTTCAAAATGAAAAGTTGCTGCCAACGTCCACCTGGGAAACATGGTAATTCTAAGGACATGCTTGAAATATAAACCGACCCGGTCAACAAGTCTTCTAGGGAGGCTATTCAACAGTGCCTATCGTTTCGCGGCAACCAAATTGTGGTCACATCCAGGGGGAAAGTTGATTTCATTGCTTTCCGTCACAACTAGTTAGTAGCTAAGATGGACTCGCCACCGCAACCAAAGGAATGGGCTTTTTTGGACCATCCAACGGATTATACAATTATTTTGCCAACCAATTTGTGGCTGTAGCCAGATCAGCACAGATATAACGGATCGGTTTTCATCTCAAAGGGCCTTCAGCTATTTTTGTTGACATGTACTACAAGCCACACATTACGCAACATAGAGTCCATAAAAACTGACGAGGAATTTAAGGTCACCGACTGTCACAGAATCCGAATCGATCATCTATTCCAGCAGCCCTGTCGAGTCTTCAGGAAAATTTTGCGCATCAGTATCACAAGCTTTTCATGAAATCCATTGATTGAAACGAAACAGATGAAATTATATGCACAGCAAGGGATCTTGTAATCACTTGTTCAACATCCATTTGACCCAAGTTCTCTTATCTTGTTTGCAAATTGACTATAATTATCGATACCAATGGTTGGCTGGTTGAAGGAAAATGATCAGACAATGGATGAAAATAAATGAAAAGCCCCACATTTGGTGAGTTATTGAATGAGTCTATCAGAACTCATGGAGCCTCTCATAGCGTTCAAAATGTGACGTATTTATTGACGCTTCGTTTCTAATTCGCGGTCCAGATTTGGCACATCTATGTCAGCATTTTTCAGGCGACCGACCATGCCTAGTTCTGAATTATTTGATTCAGGCTCTGTTGCCGTTTAAATCTGTGTATCATTGTGTTTGAGCATTCATTTTCATGCCCTGGTTTGGGTCATATTATAGTAACTCATATTGTCAGTTGCCTGACAAAATTGTGAGTCTACCCCTATTCCCATTCCTCGGGCCTAACTCATTTGGTTACTCCACAGTCAGAACTGTTAGATAGAGCCACAATATTCACTTTGGTCTCGGAGCTAATAAACTGCAAGGTAACTGAAAAATCAACAAAATTGGTCGCCACTGGTTGAAGGCCATTTCACTAAATTTCTGTGACCCATGCGACCTTGGTTGATTTTGACTGATGATGGTCATCGATCAACCAACAACATGACGGGGTAACAAGTGGAAATGCATTTTGTGACGAAAGACATAGAGGATGGTTTGCCCAACGGCGGTGTAAGAGTGACCACGTAGAGTCCAATCGCACTTGTGTGTTAAATCCACTTTTGAACATTGACTGCAACTATCGATATCAACGGCTGACCGGTTGTGGGCTGAAGCAACAATAGAGACCTGTCGGGTTCGAGAGAACAGAAGTGGTGAAAGCCCTTTTTATGGCATAGCTACTACATAGACCACACATATTTCAGCACATAGTTTGTGTAATTTGAGGAGACAGATTTGGATGATAGATGGTAGAGGACATTGCGGTGAAGTGATTGTCTCATATAGAAATTATTTGTGGAACTCATCTGGAGAATAATGGAAAGAAAAAACGAGATGATATGGCTATACTGCTGTCTACTCACCGTTCATAATTCCTGCGCTGAAGCTCTAACTTGTGAAGCCACAGCTTCCTCTGGACTAAAACCAAACGCCGTCAATCATACACACGTTTAAACCAACCTTGCAGTTGCTTTATCTCTTGTGTGACACCGCAAGATTCATCCTGAACTGTTTTTACACGAGGTTCCCGACAACATACTAGTTCAAACCTGCTTCCATTCGTTGCAGAGCCTTATGTTTCTCTTCTCCGATTTTGCTCAAAATCTGTTCTAAATTTTCTTTTTCCGCAAGGTATTCATTCAGTAACTTCTCAGTGCAACCCGTTGTCGGTAGTTTGGGTTTCGTTTCCGCCATCCGAGTGGGCTGCGTAATATATCAAAGGGGGCAGAATGAGCTACTCAAAATATATGAGTAGTTGCAAATTTAAACCTTCGCCCATGAACCCGAGAAATGCCACCTGTCAGCAGTTGATCGTGGGCCCACCGACTGAATGTTTTCTAATACAATCTACTGACCGGTAATTATGGGCACCCGTCCGAATTTTTTGTTAGAATTAACATGTTTCCACTTTTTGTCTTGGGCGAGCCTAGGCATTATCATGTGCGAGTCTGGTCTCGCATTGATGGTCTCCACGTTTTGATTACCCTTTCGGAAAAATGCAGCATTTTTCCAGATTTCTTATCCAAGAATAGCTGAGGCCACTTATCCATAGATATTTTAAACTGGCGTTCAAGTGGAAGAGGTGTACGCAGTCGGTGTTTACCAAAGTGTCGTGTGCGGAATGTCGTGTGGAATATCGTGTTACCAGAAACGATGGAGAAATTTAAAAAAGGTTCTGTGTACTTGTTCAAAGAGATAAGGTCATAGTTAAGACTGATTGTAGGATGCAAAAGGCCCTACACTAATAAATAATATAAGTGTTTGGCTGCGCAACCACGTAAGTGGGTTTTTTGTTTATCACAGCGCTTCACGGTTGGAATGAAAACGTCTTATCTCCAAATAAGGTGACGTCATCAATGCGGGGTTATGTGCGTCCGTGGTTTAGCATTTTTGTGAACGTAAAAACTAACTGTGGTAACGATTGTGTGAGAGATACCTTGCAGTGTAGATTAACATGTTCACTTTGAGCAATCTGTGAAATAGGTGGCGAGGAACAATCATTTTTTGCGGACAATTGAGTAGCGTTTCCCTACTTTGATTTTGTAAGGGATTCTGTGTATATTCTATGCGCACTGTCATTTTTAGTTATCTATTTGCTATCCTGTTACGACTGCTTTAATTTCAGTAAATGAGTTCACTAGGGATTTGTGCGCCTGGAACTGCGATGGTTGGAAACTTGGGTCATGTGCATAAGCTACCTAGACACACCCGGGTGGCCCTGTTGACACGGAGTCCCGGTAGTTAGCTGATACAAACCCTGCATAGCCGGAAGGTTGTTTGTGTGCTAGAGTAGAGGTCGGGGTTAAGCCTGACATTTTCTCTGATGACAAAGATATGAACACTATGTGTCTCCCTCTCCAAGTAAAATATTACGAAAGATTGCTTCCACGAAGCTCCCCTTTTTTCAGGTAATGTCGAAAAAAGACCAGGTATTCAAACTTCGATGGTAAAAAACGTCTGCCACATTGCTGGACAGAATTGGACAGTATATAAGCCATAATGATGGGTAGTTCCGGGGAGATGTACGAGATACTAGAGTGAGGGGTGAGAGTATCTTTCTGCCTTGAATAAGCAGCAGATAAATAGTGCTTGGGTTATTCACAGTTTAAATGAAATCTTGTAAGTGCTTGGCGTTAAGTTTGCTAGAAGAAAAGCATAGCACCGTAATAAGGAACCTCTGTATGCTTTCAGTGCACTGATAGAAAAAAATGGTACACGATGTTAGTAGAGCACATTTTTAGCTATGTTCATTTGCCTTGTTTTAGAGTGAGATGCCGATTTTTTTTGCTTTTTAATGTTACCGGCAAAGTGAAATTTTCGTGCTTTAGGTATCTAAGCCAGATGTGTCAGAGGCCAGCTGCATTTTACTGGTGGCAACGACGTTTTTAATTTGAGCAGCTATTTTATTTCAGTACCTGAGCCATACTTTGTAGAGTTTATAGAGAATGAAGCAACATAAAAATTTTAGCCGATGGCTAACAGTCACTAGTTGTCGCAAAAAATGCACATCTGTGTAATTAAGTTATCCTAAACTGGCGTATGACAGTATGCTGATTCAAATATACTCGTGCAGTAAAACCCTCCATAATGTGACAGTTCATTGGACTTCTAGAGTGTTGGAAGTAAGATCTTAGGTTTTTTTCTCGTCAATAGCATATATTACTAAGAATTGCTGAATAAGAACCGTGTCTGTCAAAGTCGGTTTAGAGTATTTTTGCAAGTATAAATGCTGCCCTTAACCTTACGTTAATGCCCACAACCCAAACTGTACAAGATTTTGTCTCCTCTTCTTTATTAAATTGCTAGATGCGAGGAGAGCCCGATGTATCGGTCTACAAAGCATGATAAAAGATGTCCAAGGAAGTGAGTATTTATTTGCATTAACTTTATGTGAGACTCAGGTATGAGAAAGGACATTACAACGTACTAGATTCCAACAACTAAGTTGTTTTACATAATTTCATTAAGTGTTAAAAATTGCACTCTGGGGGGTTTTGTTTATCGAAGATATGATTTTGTAAATTTTAATTGAAAGTTTGTCCTGTCAGAGAGTCAATCTGTGTTCAAAAATTAAGGACTGCAAAAGAATTTTGTCATCATTGGAAATCTTTAACAATACAGATCTTCTGGAACTCAGAGGGTTTAAAACTTGCTCTTTTTAGACCAGTGTCTAAACGCCAATATAGTTTACCTAAAGCGATTAAAAGCAGTATGAATAGTCCTCGCTCAAACGGAATTTAGCACCGCTTTTTGACAGGAAGCAGTATGAATAGTCCTCGCTCAAACGGAATTTAGCACCGCTTATTTGACAGGACGTATTTTAGATAAAAGTTGGACGATTTTCTTATACCAAAATTATTTTACATGTGTCTAACAACAAATCTGATTCTATAAGAAAGGAGGAATTTCTATCGGTACCCAGGAATCCATTTACTACCTTTTCAGGTGACGTGGTCTCTGTGGTTGGAGAATAAGCGGTGTCGCATCCTGTCCGAGCAAAAGAAAATTGCAATGCTATCAAGCCGCTCAAAGTAGAGCGATTATGTTCAACCACAAATCGGAAGGTGGTGATTTCCAAATTATCTAAACTTCGAAGGATGCACACTCCTAATGACTTCCATTGGGGATGAAATAGCTGCAAAGTGTCTATCAACTGTTGAAAGTAGGCTGACCAGACCAGAGAAGAGAAACCGCAGTTCTAATGAGCGAAAACTACAATGACGGTTTTTTGGGTAACAGAATGTCACAAGATAAGATAAAGAACATCACTGACTAAATCCAGGAAAACTATATCATCAACAAATAACTGTGATGACGTGCGCACAGTACTCAAAACCTAAACATTTAGAACACTGAGGGTTGGCCGAAATGCCTGGTGAATCGTAGAAGCCTGATAAATTGAAAAAGCACTATCACGGATCAGGTTTTCAGATGATTTAACCGATTGGTTCAGGGAGGACGGATGTTAGTGAATAATATCAAAAAAGAATAAAACCTCAAGCCAATTACAGGAATCCTGTTTCAAACAATAGGCCCTAAAATTAGAAAGTTTTAGCTTGCCTCGTCAACTCAACCTCTAAGAGGAGCAAAGACTCTCAAGTGGACCATCGAAAGCAGTCTGCCACCGGCAGCTAAATCCAAGCATGCATTTTCATGGTTTCCTAACAAAAACTATTCATCCCAGACGATACGTTTGAGGGCGGCTAGCCGCATGTAGTGATTTCATATTCGAAGTAACTGGAGTAGAGACATAAGGCCCATAAAATGAAACGCGTCAACGGTGCTCCACTTATTCAAAAATGGTGCGAGAAGGTCTTTAAAAACGTTAATGGATCATCCATTTAGTGACTATAACTTCTCAGATATCAGATACCGTCTCGTATTTTCCTCCGCAGATTGGATTATCGTTTAAAGGTATATACACGAGAGAATCATGTTGAACGTCACTCTGGCCTGGATCGCGTTGATTATTTCTTCACTTTGTAACAACTACTGCAAATTTGCCCTTATTTTGACGATCAAAAACCGTATTTTCTCATCTAAAGTTTCCTATAATTATGTTGATCGTATTAAACTGTAGCCGTGTTTACTCTTATCTGCGTTCTTATTGCCTGTGGAGGATGAGTACGTTCAGTATATGATAAGTGTGCACATCTACGCCAGAATTTCTCCCGGGCTCATGCTATCACGTGATGTCATGCAGTAATGTTCCGTCCTCCGTCCTTTAACTTTGTAATCGATGTGCTGCTTGAGTCTTATCGACTTGCTTTCAACACCTCTGAATTTGAATACCTATCGGATTATTGATCCTGGGCACTGTGTACACCAAAGTCGGTGCACTTCTTGGATCGTGCCTCTTGGAGGGAGGTTGTTTGTATAACATTAGCAGTTCTGCTGCAAAGTTTGGTGTACGCAAAACAACTGGGTGAGCCTGAGCTCACAACTCATATTTAAGCAATAGTCAATCAGTATGACAGATTAGTTCATTAATCTGTGCATGACCAAGTAGCTTCAGCTATTAACGACCGAAGTTCGTCTGCGGTTTTAAATTCAAATTTTGTCATCATTGGAAATCTTTAACAATACAGATCTTCTGGAACTCAGAGGGTTTAAAACTTGCTCTTTTTAGACCAGTGTCTAAACGCCAATATAGTTTACCTAAAGCGATTAAAAGCAGTATGAATAGTCCTCGCTCAAACGGAATTTAGCACCGCTTATTGGACAGGACGTATTTTAGATAAAAGTTGGACGATTTTCTTATACCAAAATTATTTTACATGTGTCTAACAACAAATCTGATTCTATAAGAAAGGAGGAATTTCTATCGGTACCCAGGAATCCATTTACTACCTTTTCAGGTGACGTGGTCTCTGTGGTTGGAGAATAAGCGGTGTCGCATCCTGTCCGAGCAAAAGAAAATTGCAATGCTATCAAGCCGCTCAAAGTAGAGCGATTATGTTCAACCACAAATCGGAAGGTGGTGATTTCCAAATTATCTAAACTTCGAAGGATGCACACTCCTAATGACTTCCATTGGGGATGAAATAGCTGCAAAGTGTCTATCAACTGTTGAAAGTAGGCTGACCAGACCAGAGAAGAGAAACCGCAGTTCTAATGAGCGAAAACTACAATGACGGTTTTTTGGGTAACAGAATGTCACAAGATAAGATAAAGAACATCACTGACTAAATCCA